GAAGAAGATGAACAACCATTCATGGGAGAGGTTATGTCACCCATCCAGGTGTCATATACTTCAGCAAATGATGACAAGCAGTATTTAACCAACTCAGATAATAATATGGTATTTCTGGACGCAATAAAGACTATGAAGGAGTCTTTGCAATCATCAAGGCAAGAGTCTTCAGCAACAGGTATCACCTAGGGAGGATAAGATGATTCATTTCCTCATTTTGAAGGATGGTTGCTTTCTCTTGTTTGTTTGTTTGCTTAAAGATGTGTTGTTTCATATTTGATGTTACTTTCCTTTTCTCTTATCCACCACACTTCTGAAGCTACATTGCTCGAGTCCCTTTACTGTGGGTGAAAGCTTCTATTCTGTGGAATCTATTCTTCTTGAATAAATGAACATCGTTAAATTTTAAATTGATATTTATGCTGTATCTGCTTGTGGGCTGTAGATTGCTGACCTATATTTGACTATGATTCCTTCTTTTCTCTTTTTATCTGCAGTAAAAGTTGTACTTCTTCCTGTGGCCCAGGAAATTATAATGCCTTTTAGAGTTGATTCCATGTTTAAACACCTCAAGGATTATTTTTCACACTTGTTAAATGTTCCGTCTGATGTACTGCAGATAACTTCTTCAGGTAAGTTTGGAGGCTAATAAAATGTATCAAGACTTCTCTACTTTTCACATGTAAACAGTCAAGATCTTTTGTTTGTTAGACTAAATACCCTTGATATTTATTATTTGTATGTTGTATTGTGGTTATGCATGTATTCATTCAACACATTTTACTGAGGGCATAATTTGTTCTAAATACTTTGCTAAGAGCTGGGGATACGAAGAAACATGAGATAAAGTCCTTGTCCTTGAGTTATTTACAGATTAGTAAGGAAGAAGAGGCATGCAGTAGTTACCATATAACATGTAAACGCTTTAATGGAGATGTGCACAAAAAACTATGGGAACAGAAAGGAAGGAATCTGGGAGACTCTAGACATTTCATTTAACACACTCCCCCAGTCTATTAGATTGTCATTTAATAGAATTGGTAATACTTGTGCTAAGTCCCAAAGCTGTGAGAGAACCTGGAACTTTTGGGAAATGGTAAGAAGTCTAGAGCAGCTAGAAGTAGAATATATATGGGAATGGGAGAAGGTGAGACAGAAAATAAATGAGGAAGAAGAGTGTATAGAATAAAATAGAACTGAAAATGGTTTATCAGTCTTCTTTACATAAAGGTCAATTCACATCCCATGAGGTGCAGGTTGATTTAGATTTTGTGGAAGAAGTTGAGCAGCCCACCAAAGTTATACTAGCTCTTTGTCACGTGAGGACATAGTCTTTCTAACTGCAATATAGTTAACCAGACTAGTTTAGCTAAATGAATGTTTCTATAGAATATGCCTGCACAGAGCCCAATATTTTAGTTTAAGATGTTTGGCATTGACTTACAAAGATGCCACAAAAAGATTCCAGGGAAATATGAACGTTTTTATGGGCAAGTCCAAAATGCTAAAAAGAAGTTCATCATACTTTTCAAATCCCTTCTCCTTGCGAAATCAGAGAAAAAGTCAGTTCAATTTCAAAATTAGTTTTAGAGATCTATTAAAATGAATGTGCTCCAAAAGTAAGATATTCATGTATTCAGATAACTGATTACTAAAGCTTGGTTGGGGAAACACAGCTAAGATTTAAATGATTGTTAGTGATAATCATGATGATAATGGTGGTGATGATTATGTTGATGACGATAGTTAATTTACTGAGCAGTAACTATATGCTAGTCCCTCCATAAAACCTTTGCCTACATTGTTACTTGATCCATACAATAACCTTTTGAGGTAGGTATTATTGTTATTAACTTCTTTTTGAGAAAAAACAAACTAAAGCTCAGAGAACTTGTGTAAAGTCACAGTCTGAACTTAAATGTAGGTATGATTCCGCAGAGGGAACTTAAAATGCTTGGCATTAACTGGTGGCATAGTGGTTAGGTGCTGTGGCTGTTAACCAAACGGTTGGCAGTTGGAATCCACCAGGCACTCCTTGGAAACTCTATGGGGCAGTTCTACTCTGTCCCGCTATGAGTCGGAATCGACTCGACGGCAGTGGGTTTGGTGTTTTTTTTTTTGGCATTAACTCAAAGGTGAAGCTCAAAATTGGAGAAGAGAACTTTATGAGACTGAAGTAGCTGGCCAGTGGTATCTAAGGACCTCTCTGTTCTTTGCATTTCATTACCTATTTTCCTCATGTGAAGGGGCCCTGGTGGCGCAGTGGTTAAAGCAATTGACTGCTAACTGAAAGATCAGAGGTTTGAAACCATCAGTGGCTCTGCAGGAGAAAGATATGGCAGTCTGCCTCTGTAGAGATTTATAGCCTTGGAAACCCTATGGGGTTGCTATGAGTCGGAATCGACTTGATGGCAGTGTGTTTGGTTTTGGGTTTCTTCTTGTGTAGTTACCCGGCATCACCATTGCGTAATAGGCTTATTTTATGTCAGCAGCAGTAATAGAGAGCTTGATTCTATGCCAGCTGTCCTCAAAGATAGGTGCTTTCTTCTAGTCCTAGAACTAGAATTCAAATGTGGTGGGACTAAGCCTACATATTAAATGAGCCCTGGTTGCACAATGGTTAAGTGCTCGCCTGCTAACCAAAAGGTCAGTGGTTCCACTCCACCAGTTGCTCCACGGGGCAAAAGACCTGGCTGTCTGCTCCCGTAAAGATTACAGCCTAGGAAGCCGTATGGGGCAGTTCTGCCCTGTCATCAGATAGGCACACTATGAGTCAGAATCAACTCAGCAGCACACGGCAACAACAACAAGCCTATGTGTAGGAACAGGTGGAGGAATAAACCAGGGCTCTGGGAACCTGTATTGGTTTCTTATGATTACTGTAATAAATTACCACAAATCTAGTGGCTTAAAACAACACAGATTATTTCTCTTAGAGTTGTGGAAGCCGGAAGTTCTAACTCAGTTTCACTGGGCTAAAGTCAAGGTGTCATCAGGGCCATGCTCGCTCTGTAAGCCAGAGAAGAGAATCCACTGCCTTGCCTTTTTTAGCCTCTAGAGCTTCATTGCCTGCATTCCTTGGCTCATGGCTCCTTTCTCCATCTTTAGAGTCAGGAGTTTAGCATCTTCAATCTCTCTCTGCTTCTATCGCATCATCTTCTCCTTTGTAGTCAAATTTCCCTCTGTGTTGTAGTGGTTAAGAGCTACAGCCACTAGCCAAAATGTTGGCAGTTCGAATCCACCAGATGCTCCTTGGAAACTCTATGAGGCAGTTCTACTCTGTCCTGTAGGGTTGCTATGAGTTGGAATCGACTCGAAGGCAGTGGGTTCCTCTTACAAAGACACTTATGATTACATTTAGGACCCACCAGCATAATCCAGGAGTATCTATCTCGAAATTCTTAATGTAATCCAGTCTGTAAAGTTACTTTTGCCATATAAGATAACATTCACAGGTTCCAGGGATTAGGACTTGGACATATTTTGGGACCATTTTCAGCCTACCATGAATTCAACTGATATTCATATCAGTTTTTTAAATGAAAAATTTGGAATGTGATATTGAAACACAAAGATGTTAGAATGTGCTTTCTTGAACATAGCCAGAATAGACTAGTAGTATCTGCTGTGCTTCTAAGAATGACTATAGCTTTTGCTGTCTTCAACTTCCTTATTTTAATTTAAGAAGACTGAACATGTGAGGATTGATATAGATTCCATCAATAATGTTTCCATGACAAAAAGCAAAAGTCAATAACAGTATTATATTTTCGTATGCCTTAAAAAGAGAAAAAAAATTAGAGTCAAATTATAGAATAAACTGGGATGGGTAGGGGTGGGAGGGGCTGCAGTTAAAGCAACGCAAGATAAAAAGTGTTTTGGCACAAGAATTATTTTTTTTACATCCTTTCTAAGATCTATAAGAACAACTAAATGTAGCAATGATGTGAAATGACTCCCAGCTACCCGTTTAAATCATGCACATACCACACAGTACTTACAGTGTAAAAGCAAAGTCAGCTCTGATTTGTTGTACAACTGCCACTAGTTGATTCAAGTAACCACTGCCTGAGAAGCGTTTAAGAGGGTAAATTAACAAAGTAACACACACACACACACACACACACACAGATGCCATTAACTCCATATGCAATAACAAATTCACCTTTCTAACCATGATGTACACTTTTTCCAGCACAAAGCTGATACTTAACTTCACCTTAGCATGAATTAATTTATGTAAGTTTCCTATTATGGAAAGAGAGAAGAAGGGATTCCTTGGAATTCTGAGTCTATGCTTTTCTGCACTGGGAAGGAGGGAATGGTATTAAAATAATCAGGCTTCCCTTGATAGGGATACGTGCTGTGCTTAGATATAATACATCGTGGCTTTTTAATAGAATTAAATTTAGAATATGATTCTATGTCTCCAGTCTCCTCCTAGGATGAAGAACAAACCTTCTTAAACCCTACGTTCTTTAATCTTAGTCCATTCCTTTCTACTTTTATCATGTTTATTTTATACTTTACGTAGCTTTTTGAGTTCAGTGCTTAGTATTTATTTCAAATTATTTCATATTATAGAATATGATTTATTTTTAAATGTTTATGGAGTTTCATGGTTATTATATATTTGTATTTATGATGAGTTTAGGGAGCGCAGTTTACTTTCTTTATAATGTTGCATTCTTGCTCCTCACTTTACTTCTTCCCACTATGGAGTTTTCTTTACTAACATTACAGTAAGATGTGGAAACCATCGATATTACATTTGGTATTTAAATGATATGCCTTCATATGAGCACCCTTGATGTTTTCCATCTCCTTAAAATGACTGTGTGTGTATATATATTTATACATATGTACATATATTATATACACATATATGTAAAACCATTTCTTTGTCATAAAACTTATTATAATTTTATCTCTTTTTTTAGGAATAGTTCTTAAAAATAATGAGACTCTACTACAACATGGAGTTAAACCACAGGAAATTGTACAAGTGGAAATCTCTTCTAAAAATCCAGATCTATATCAAATCAGAAGAATAGCTGGACTGAGTAATGGCTCTCAAATCATAGCTGTCAGAGTAGAAACTGGTTAGTTATTTGATTTTTTCTTTTTTTTTTTAGATAAAGTATTTTTGAGTCTCTTTGTGGTTGAACTTTCATTCAGTCTTGGTTTTCTCTCCTCAGGTATTGATCAGTACCAGAATGTAGCTGTTGAGATTGTAAAATCTGACTTTCACAAACCATTTCTTGGTGGATTCAGGCATAAGATAACAGGAATAGAATATCACAATGCTGGAACACAAACTGTACCCAAAAAAGTTCTTGAAAAAGTTGATGTATTTTGTAGGGATACCCAGGTAATACATTTAGTTTTCATTTTGGTTTTTGAAGCTACAGAACCAAAAATCATTGTACTATATGACTCTCTCAAATTAAGTTCTTCTGAGTAATTATATGGGGCTCTGGTGGCAGGGTGGTTAAGCATTTGACTGCCAATCAAAAGGTCAGCAGTTCTAATCCACCAGCCACAACCTGGAAACCCTATGGGGAAGTTGTACTCTATCCTGTAGGGTCGCTGAGTCGGAATTGCTATGAGTAATTATACTGCAATTAAGATAACAAGAGAAAAATTAACTTAAATGTGTAGGGAAATATGCTTTTCACTCATTTATGATTGTACATGTATATTTAAAAAAAAACAAAAAACATTGCTGTTGAGTTGATTCTGACTCCAAGGAGCAGCTGGGGGATTTGAACTGCTAACCTTTTGGTTAGCAGCTAAGCTCTTAACAACTGTGCCACCAGGGCTCCTGTTTGTATATAGTGGATACTTATTTACATTTTTATGGTTTTATTTTAGACAGTTCATGAGAGAAGAAAGTTCCAACAGACTACAAATACAACATCCACACAGATGACTAAAATCGGTGTGTATGTATCAAATATGACTGATAAACTGGGAACACCAGGGAGATATTTTACAGCAGCAGAATACCATGCTAGAAGATTACAAGCGGTAAGAAGAATTTTATTGTGGATAACTACTAAAAATCAAATATATAAACCAGTTGTTCTCTGTACATGTCTGTGCCTGTGTGTGCTTCTAAAAGCCTCACTAGAAATGGGAAGGACAGTCCATGGGTGTGAGTCACATTTCATTGGTAATAAAGCAGTTTTTGTCTCCAGTCTCCTCCTAGAATGAAGAACAAACCTTCTTAAACCCTACATTCTTTAATCTTAGTCCATTCCTTTCTACTTTTATCATGTTTATTTTATACTTTACGTAGCTTTTTGAGTTCAGTGCTTAGTATTTATTTCAAATCATTGCTGTTTTAGGCAAGATTATATCATGTATAATTATAGATTTAAAAAAATTTTTTTT